TGTCATGCACTGTTATTTCTAAATCCTCTCCTGTCCTTGACCCCCAGTATCTAGATGTAAACTTGGAACCATTAGTGGAGAAGGATAAAGTCTTCTGGTGCCTCAAATGGAATTGAGAGGGATTTAAACTCAGCGCTTTTGAGTGCAGTGAAATGAACCCAGCAGTACATTAATGCTAGGATTTGAGCTCACACAGCATGAGTGCTTTCAAAACCCGTGTTTAAGGAAGCAAACAGAGCCACGGCAGACCCTTTCAGCAGAGCAAAAGGAGTTGGATGAAACAATCAATGACACATTAAAAACCACAACTGGGCTGCAATCATGTGGGCACAAAAAAAAAAGTTTTTCTTTATCACGAGATCTTTGCATCTAATGAGATGGTGACTGGACAACCTCCAGAGGAGTAAGGCCTTCGCTTACTTTCACTGAGAAACGTCTAAATATTTAGTTGGTTCTCCTAAAAGCCTTACATGATTCTGTAGCAAACTGGTCTCTAAGGTGTGATCTTATTAGCTCTATATTGCCATTGGAAAATCTATTTAAAGGGAATTTGGAAAAGAAAAGAACGAAGATATTACCACTCAAATTATAAATGTTTGCTTATCTTTCTTCTCTTTCAAAATTAATTATTTTTATGCCCTCCAAATATTTAGCTTAGGAACAACACCCTGCCAGCATTAATTGATTCTAAGTGGCTCTCTAGTTCTTATATATGCTTTATTTCTGTTGGCTTAGTTGGATTCGAAGTGCCTGAGGCTCAGAAGGGGAGTAACTCCTGAGTACATTTTGGGGGCAGGGAGGCTGGAGGTGAAGCTAAGAGCACCAGGGAACTTTGTAAAATTGTCTATAGGGGTCTACCCTTTAAATTCACACTGCTGTCTTGTATGAGCGGATTTTCGCCAAGACCAATATCCAGTTTGCTCTAAGCTTCTGGGATCCTCTCTGCCATAAACCCAGTAGTACATCCCAGAGATGGTATCAATGGGGGCTTTAACCTTTTCAGACTTTCTGACAGTAGAATCCCCTCCAGCATGTCGTTCTTTATTATTGCTTCCTATGGACTCTTATTAAGGATCACCAAAACTTCTCCCCTCCCCCTTTGCTGGAGGCCAGCACAGCCCCAGTTCACCGCCAGTTTGATTAATATGTCTTGGTTAATTGTGTGAAAGATGGCAGGCCTTTAGCAAGTGTGACCAGTTTATTGTTCAGCCAATCACAGGCGCCTCAGTTAGCATGTGAAAAGGGGGTGTTTCTGGGGGGGGGAGAGGGTGAGTGTTCTGGCGGCTGAGTCAAAGGTGGAGCATTTTGGGGGGTCACAGAGCAACACCCACTTCTTTGAGGGGATGTTACTATGCTCTACTAAACCTGTAAACCTCTTACTCAAAGCACTTTTTTCTCCTCCCTCTTTTTTCAAGATCTATTTTTTTTTCCCATGGTGCAAGCAGGCAAGCCACTGGCTACTCTGCAGATGGAGTTCACGTTCCAGGGTTTTTAATATTTCACTTTTATATTTCTGTTAGAGAATGATCCTGCTGAGAGTCTGGGAATCTGTGCTCGTCAGAACCCCCTTACTGACACTTGGATATATTGCTCTGAAAGCTATCCCAGGAGAAAAGATTAAACAAAAAAAAGCCTACTTTTCAAAGCCTACTTCTCAATCTGCCCACATCAAAATAAGACAACTGGCCCTTTGAAGTAGAGGACACAGAGTTCTCAGCCAGCTTGCTTAAAATGGGGGGTAGGAGGGAAGGAAGGAAGGAAAGAAAGAAGGAATGAAAGAAGGAAAGAAAGAAAGAAGCCTAGTGTCTAAAATTATATACTCTCTTCCCTTGCCCAGATTTCATCAGGTACACGAATCTGAATTGATGATGGCTAAAAACCTACAGTCCTGCTCATCAGTGTCCCAACAAAACAAGTAAGTGGCCAGACAAACCTGTCCAGGTGAGTCAGCACCAAGTGTTTTTTTAAACCTATGCAAACAGAAACTGTATTGTCCTCCTAGACATAGTCCAGACAAGGTCTGAGAAAGGGTAGAGTAGGCAGAGATGGACACTGGATGGTGCTCCCAAGTTCTGAGCTCTTGGCTCTGACTGAATTCCAAGTTTGGGGGCTCTTACTACTACTTAGAATGAAAAGGAAAGGAATGGAAATCTCATCCCGAATACTGTTACTGTTCTCTCTGTGATATTTTTCTGGCTCCCATACCCTCTTCTGTTCTCTTGATCACTGGAGTTCAAGTGTGTGGAAGCAGCAGTGGCCATTCAGTGATGGGGGTGGGTGCGGGATAGTTCAAAGGGTCTTCTCAATTGATATAAGAGGATGGTCCCAGAACAAAAATGATAACCCTTTTAAAACACAGTCCCTATGATTGAGTTATCAATAGTCCTGACCCCATGCTCAAGACATGCTGGACTTTTAAGATTTACAAATTAAGAGTTGGACATCCTCATGGTAGCTAAGTTTACAACTCTCTTCCTTTCATAAGCTTGGCCTGGCCTATGGCTACCCACTGCCTGAACCTATGGAAGCAGGGCTCACAAACGATCACTGCTGCCCTCCCCCCACCCCTAATAAGGAGAGCTGGTGAGACAGTGTAGATGAACGAATACAAACCCAAGTTCTCAGAGATCCAAGAATGTACCATATCTGTCTGTGTGGACCCAACACATAATATAATGCCTGGCAGATAGTAGTGTGTTCAAAATTTTTTGGCTTATTTGAATTAAATTGAATCCCTACTAGAAAAACAATGCAGAGTATGAACCCTATTGATGTTGGGCCTAGAGAATTCTCTTCATAAATAAAAAATTGCACATTACTTTGAAATGACAGCAAAATGAAAAATGCAACATATTTCTTGCTGTTTTATTGGGACCCAGTTATCTTACTTAGTACAGAATCTGGCAGGGAAGCATTTTGAACAAGTTTCTATTATTATTGTTCTCACTAAGGCATTCTATGTTTAGGATCACTGCTTATTTGCCTGAGCCAACCTGAAACCCAAACGTTTGAAGTTTGGAGAAATAGCATATGCCCACCATGGCAGCTTAGTACTGACATCACCCAAATTGTTTTCTATAACCCATTTGTGACCCTAAACTTCTGGTTGCATAATCGTGGTAGGAAGCTGAGCCATTTTCACCTGCAAGAGGAGAGTGGGTAAGGAGAGGTACAGGCAGGATGGGAAAATAGAACCAAGTTCTCCTAGAAACCATGGCAACTGGAGACAGAACTATTGCAGACTGTACCATGGTCTCTATGAGAAGTCTGTTCTTTTTTCTATTTCAGACCAAAAGGAAGAGGCATTATTCCAAGCCTTATGGCCAGAGTGGCATTTTTCTCAGGTGCTAAACTCAAGCAAAATAGTTAGAAGTGATAAACTGTTTATAAATGACCCTGAGGCCATTTAGCAATGCAAATAATATAAGGCAGCTGAAGTGACTTAACAGTTAGTCTTTCACTTGTGGTAGGGCTTTCATAACCTGGTCAGTCCAAGATGCCTGATCCCTATGAATAGCTGTTTGAGCATAAGTATTATATGACGGAGAAAAGAAGGAAAAAAAAAATCCCCTGCCTCTTATGTCGTTTGTTAGACTCCTTTTTTTTTTTTTTACAAAAATTTTTAGTGTTTTTTTTTATATTTGAGGGGGGGAGGGGCAGAGAGTGAGAGAGACACTGAAGCAGGCTCCAGGCTCTGAGTTGTCAGCACAGAGTCCGACATGGGCCTGGAACCCGCAAGTGGTGAAATCATGACCTGAGCTGAAGTCATACATTTAACTGACTGAGCTACCCAGGCACCCCTGTCATAAATTGCTTAATTGCTTTTTAATTGCTTTTTTCTTTTTTCTTTTCCTTTTTTTTAATTATAATTTATTGTCAAATGGGTAACATACAGTGTGTAAACTGTGCTCTTGTTTTTTGGGGTAGATTCCCGTGGTTCATTGCTTATATATAACACCCAGTGCTCATCCCAATGCCCTCCTCAAGTGCCCTCCTCAATGCCTTTCATCCATTTTCTCCTTTCCCCACCCGTTAACTGCTTTTTAAATCTTCCTACAATTTTTTGCTCTCATGAGATCCTTTTAGGATAATCTCATACCAAAGTTAGTAATGACAACAATTTGGAGAAAGTCCATATTTAGTGATAGGTCACTCTAAGAATATAAAGACTAGAAAATCTGGCTTAAGCCATAATGACCATAATCACCCCAATATTGTCTTTATCTGTATATATCTACCTCCCCTTTAATCCTGCCAGCAATGGAGACCAGCTCTGATAGAGCCATTTCTTGCTTCCCCAGCCTCTGATACAATCCTTCATCCTATAGCTCATTGCTCGTCTCCTTCCTTCCATCTCAATATCCTTGAATGACTACTGGGTATTCTGATCTCTCTGGCATGGCCTTGGGACCATTTCTCAAAGACTTCCCCCAAAGACAACACTTCCAACACTTCCAAATCCATTCCCAGGAGCCAGTCTTGGAGGACCAAATGAGTGACAAGAATGACCAAGTGTTAGGCTTAGAGACAATGGAGGAACTCTTGTATAAACTAGAAACATCTTACTTGGCCAGTCCTTGGCCTAATGAGCCTCTACCTCCCCTCTGTTACATTAGCTTTCTTTTTATACTTTATGAGGTATAATAACCTAACAAATAAAGTCAATAATAGTCATAAGGCTAAAAAATGAGACCATCTATTGAGTTCTTCTGAGCCATTGGATATTTGGAAATGGATATGGACTCCACAGCAATAGTCATTCCAAATTCTTATGCAGCTTGCTACTTGTGTTGTATAGAGTTGGAGAACTGATCTAACCTCAACTACTATTTCAGTGTCCTTCTCATAAAAGGATTATCAGGGAATATAGGAATTTAAAAATTCATCTAGGTCCATCTTTACTGTTGAGTTAACAATAAAAGAAGGTCACCCTATCTGTGTGGCAAATGCTCTCATATTGCTAATTCTCAGAGTATTCCAGAAACTCAAATCAATATTACCTGGATTGTAGTTAGGTAGCTTGGAAACTCCAGGCCAGGTATCCTCTGTAGGGACTCCTAACACCTATATAAAGCCAAAGAAAGACAAAGGAAGATGAGGCAGGAGATGTGAAAGATCAAGGGAGAATAGGGAAGAATTGGTTACATATGTCACATTATGCCAGCTGATGTACATAGGAAAGAAACTTGAGGGTCCAACATTTGCAGTTTCGTGGGCAAAACTGTAGTGTATTCTTAAAGTCTTGTGATGGTCAATTTGATGCCCAACTTGACTGGGCAAAGGGATATCCAGATAGCTAGTAAAATATTTTGGGGTGTGTCTATGAAATGTGGAAGGAATTAATATTTGAATCAGCAGAGTAAAGAGTAAAGAAATATGCCCTCTCTAACGTGAGCAGGCATCACCCAGTTGGTTGAGCGCCCATATAAAAAGGCAGAGGAAGGGCAAATTCTCTCTCTCTCTTCTTGAGCTAGGGCATTCATCTTCTCCTCTGCTCAGACATCTGAGCTACTGGTTTTATGACCTTCAGACTCAGACTTACACCAGCATCCCCTCAGTTCTCAGTCCTTTGGTGTCAGACTGAATTATACCGCCAGCTTTCCTGGTTCTCCGGCTTGCAGACGGCATATCTCAGCCATAATCACATGCGCTGATTCCCATAATAAATCTCCTCTTATGTATCTCTATACATTCCATTGGTTCTGTTTCTTGGGAGAACATGAATATAGGTCCTGAGCCTGTGTCTTTACTAACTCACTTGTTCTTATTCTGAGGTAGATCACATAGCCTTGTTTAAAGTCATATTCTCATCACTATCCATTGCATGGTCACCAAATAGCAGGATGCTACTCTGGGAGTTGGGAATATAAAGAAGCAGGAGTGACTGTCCTTTTACCTTACATTAGATGAAAAAATACCCCCCCACACACACACAACAAAAGACACTCAGCCTGAATTATGCCTCAGCATGAGCATTCAGCTGTTTCCCCGATGTGTTCAAATTAAAAAGGATTCAGATTACTGACCTTTAGGCAGTGGAATGTTGGCTAAAAGTGATCCAAACCTAACTCTAGTCCTTTCTACCAAATTCATCTCACCTTGTTTTCTTGGTGGCCTGGCAGCTTGGAGTATGGTATTTGACTTTTAACTGGTGGGTTCAAAAAGTAACATCACTTGAAAAAGAGCTCACTTATGCTTTGGATTACCAAATTGAAGCTCCAGTTTGTAATTAACATGAAAATAAAAGTCTGTTGAAGTACAAAGTCAAAACTTCAGATTTTGGTTAGTGCTTTTACTGTGAGTTCTTTTGTGGGCATGATTCTACCATTCTTTTACCTTAACCTTAAAAGCCCACTGTCAGTTATATCTGGGAGCTAAAATAACATAGTTTTTGCAAAATATTAGTGAAGTACCAGTAGCTTTCACTACACCACTACCCAATATAACTCTCCTTAGAAGCATATCTCAGTATAACCCTTTTTAGAAGCATCTCTCATAGAAAGAATCTAATCAATCCATTTACAAAATGCAAGATATAGATACCAGCCCAGTTGTTATGGCAGGAAGTCAACTGCCCAACAATGACTAATAATAATCAATTAAGAATTCAGAATCTTAATGTCTACCAGCTTGCTGACTAGGACTCTGGCTGAGAGGTACATTTTGTGGTGCTGGCTAAGACTGTCTTCAAACAAAAGACACTGAAGTGCTATTTTCTCTCATACAATAAAAAAATCATGCCACCCAGGAAAATCTTTCTTTGATCCATTCCCTAAACAAACTGAAAAGCTACTGAGAGGATTATAGGCTTTTCCTATCAACCATTCTGAGCCTGAGGGAACACTAAGAATCCTGGAATCCATTTTGAAAAACCAACTGGACTAATTCTTCTTTTGTGGGAGAGGGGGAGAGGATGGGAAGCTGGTTCTTCTTTTTTAACCTACCGTCTTATATATTTGCACAGATGTGCATGTAAACAAGTGATTCACAGGCACCCATACTGGTGGCTGGCAAAGCACAATGAAAAGAATGCAAAGACAATGAAGAAAAAGCAACAAAGGCAATCAATAGTGACCACATCCATATTTTCTCTAAGGTAACAGTTACTAGAATTATTGGTTACTTTGTATTATGTTTAATTAAAGTCAAAAAAGTGGATACCAAACAACTTATTATACTAAAAACTTTAAGCTTGCAATTTTTTGAAGTTTAAAAATTCAATCTCCTTCATTTGGAAATTTGATGCTCAGTTTCTATTTGAAAGTTACTGAATTTGTTTTCAGTTGAGAAAATTACTAAATCTCCACTTCACTGTCTGGGAAACTGAAAACCGAAATTGTTGATTTATTCCCTCCCTGAAGTCTCTTAAAAGGCAGCCAGTGAGTGCTATGTTTGAAAACATAGTGAACTGAACAGGGCTGTTTTCTGCCTTTGTTGGAATGGAAACTGAAGGCATTTTGATTAGTGGACTTAAAGTTTGCATAGATTATTTTATTCTGATTTTAGAATTACATCTGGGATTATTTGCCAAAAACACGTGTTATAAGAATTCACTTTCTAAAAAGTTGATCAGAAAGAGGTGACAGCTATTCAGATGAACACACACACACACACACACACACAGGCATTTTAGAAAGATGGCAAAATAAAGATTCGGGATTTTTCATTATGTTTTCATTCCTAAGAGTGAGAGTGAGATCTTGGCAAAAATGTAAGAGATATTGGGGTTAAAGATTAGGAGAGTAGAACGGACCCATTGCTTTAATTTTTTGTTTGTTTATTTATTTGTTTATTTTTGGAGACAGCATGAGCAGGGGAAAGGAGCACAGACAGAGAGAGGGAGAGAGGGAGAGAGAAAATCTTAATCAGGCTCCATACTCAGTGTAAAGCCCAATGTGGGGCTGAGTCCCATGACCCGGGGATCATAACCCGAGCCAAGATCAAGCGTTGGATGCTCAAATGACTGAGCCACCCAGGCACCCTGGACCTATTGCTTTCAAAGAACCAACTCCTACATCAAATATCACGGAACCTGAAAGAGATTTCCTATTTACATCCATGTAGACAACGTTAAATGAAGCACTAATTCCGGAGTTGTTTGTAATGTTTACATTTCTAACTTGCTTAAACAAAGTAGTATAGAAGACAACACGCTGCTGAATGTTCTCAATTTGTCCTCAGAGCGTGGAACAGTGACTGTGATAACAAAACCGTGTCTCTACCTCAAAATTGTAAAGCAGTTCAAGAGGAGACAAATTTCCTCATTTACACACAAACCCCCCACTCTGGCAATATCTCTCAAGAAACTCATTATCAAGAATGCTCCAGATGCCTGCTTGAAGCAAGCAAACTTGAAAGGGAGCAGGATCTGGGATAACAACAGCATAGTTTAAAGCACTTTGACACACACTACGACATGGATGAACCTTTAGAATATAAGTGAAATATGGGGCGCATTGGGGGCTCAGTTGGCTATGTGTCCGACTTTGGCTCAGGTCATGATCTCACGAGCTTGTGAGTTCAAGTCCTGCATTGGGCTCTCTACTGTCACTGCAGAGCCTGCTTTGGTTCCTTACTTCCCCTCTCTCTGCCCCTCCCTAGCTCATGCTTTCTCTCTGTCTCAAAAATAAGTTTAAAACAAACAAACAAACAAAAGTGGAATAAATACTGTTAATCAGACAAATACTGACTGTATGATTCCTAATATGAGATACCTAGGATAAGCAAATTCGTAGAGACAGGCCAGGGGCTTGAAGGAAGGAAGATGGGAATTAATGTTTAATGGATACAGAACGTCTGTTTCAGGTGATAAAAAAACTTTTGGAACTGGATGGTGGTGATTCTGCACACAGTGAATGTACTTAATGAATCATATACCTAAAAATGGTTAGATAGTAATTTTTATGTGTATTTTACCACAATGACAAAAAATCACCACAAAAATTATATATATACAGATGACTATAGTATGTAGCATATAAGCTACAAGAGACAAAAGAATGAAGTGCATCATGGTGCAAATAAGGCCAGGATAAATAATAAGGAAAGAAATGGAACCACACACAGAAAAGCACCTCACACCTTAGGAATTCGGTTTTGAAAGAGCAGCACAAATAGTATGCTTTTCTCACACTAACATGGTAAGCCGTTGTTTCATCAGGGTTCTGTGGATATGTAACATCTCATCTTTTGTTGACAAGGACAGACGACCAAATGCATGGTAGAATTAGAGCTGAGGGTGGCAAGGCAGGGACGTGCTTAAGTAGCCACAGCAGCAATTGTCCTGGGAAGTTGAGAAAATAATGAGAGTGGGCAGGTAGACTCAGGGGCTGCTACAGGACAACAGGGGTTTCCTGACCACATCTTCATTCTCTAGGTGCTTCCACCTGTGGCAAATTCCACAGTTTCCACAGCCTTACTATGAGGCATAATATCTCAAAGCAGATGGACTACTTCACTGTCTCTAAAGCGAATTTGGTTCAAAGTTTAAATTGCAGATATTTCTTCTTCCTAAGAGGAATTCTTCCCTTACCTCCCAGATCTTCTCCAGCTGCTCAAGGATGTTGGAAACCCCAGGAAACAAAGGTTGACCCTGGAACATTTCAATAAAGATGCAGCCTGCACCCCTAGCAAAGGAGACAAGAGTCAGCCGGACACTTTTAAGGAAACCATACATGCAAAACTGAACTACCAGTATTTCTCCACACGGTAAATATTTTGGAGAGTTAAATAGGGACCATATGCTATTAAAAGTCTTGGGAAAGAGAAAAGAAAAAGAAATATAAGCACAGCCTGCAGCTTTTTGTTAAAATGACCTGCAACCAGCATTTAGGAACACAATACAGATAATAAACATTTCAACTCATTCAAGTTCATTATCCATTTTATGCGAAGAGGGGAAAGTATTGAATCTCCACATTGACTACTTTCTTTCACAGAATCAAAAATGCTATCTTTGGAGGCACCTGGGTGGCTCAGTTGGTTAAGTGTCTGGCTTCAGCTCAGGTCATGATCTCCCAGTTCATGGGTTTAAGACCTGCATTGGGTTCTGTGCTGACAGCTCAGAGCCTGGAGCCTGTTTTCAGATTCTGTCTCCCTCTCTCTCTGCCCTTCCCCAGCTTGTGCTCAGTCTTTCTCTGTCTCAAAAATAAATAAACATTAAAAAAAAATTTTATAATGCTATCTTTGTAAGAGGCACCATTAGTATAGGTATTGATTAAGAAAAAAATCCTGCAAGTTGAACCATAACACAATCAGAATGTTTCTTTCATAGCTATAGCAAGGGTTATTATAAACTTAATTAGAAGGATTATTTTACCACATATCATACTTGTACATGCAAAAATGGAACAGTAAGTAAAATAAATTGGTTTGGGTACTCGTGAAACTTTTTTACATTCAGCATTTGACTCAGACTCTTTGATGTCTGTTTTTATCCATGGGATCATCCTCTATATCAGGAGTTTGATGATGCAGCATTTCTTAAAATAATCCATAAGAAAACTAAGAGTCATTGGTTCTGGGCTCCTAAACTGACCTTGCAGTTACATAGTTAACCTACTTTTGACTCCTTAAAGACTGTTGTTAAACATGTCTGATTAACTCCCTCTCCACCACCATTCAGTTCCTAGTTAAAAAGAAGGGGGGAAAAAGCTCTCCTGTTTGCAAAACTTTCTTCCAAGTCACTGACATCCATTCTGCAACTTTTGATGCTGGCATTTGATGTTCGCACATGTGCAATGGTAGCTGCAGTCATAACTGCAGCCTGGCTGACAGCTTTGGTAAGACACTACTGATTATAAGGTACACCCTGATTTAGCGGAAAGTGTGCATCTCAAAATAGATGAAATAGGGTGAAATATAAAATTTATTTCCTAAGTAGTCGAACTGGAGTGTAATTCCTGAGGGACAGTAAGGGGTAAGATTTATTTTGCTAATAATATACATTTTTCTCTCTCTGAAAATAAATAAATAAAATAAACTTAGAAAAAAGAATCTGGTGACTATTATCTTGAGGTGAATTTTTAGAATTATTGCCATTTTAAGGCTCCTCATCAGGTTGTATTTTAGAATCCACGTAGTTTGGGTTTTTTTTAAATTTTTACTTTTTGTCTTTAAAGCAACAGATATAAAAGGTATGAGGAAAAGTGGAGGAAAATAAAAGTAGTAGAATACTGTCAAATGGTTAAAAACCATCCTGTTTGCTAGCAGTGGTCAATTATAAGATAAGCCAACTAGGAAACTGAGTTAGTGAATGCCATCAAATGGTCTCTAGCCACCACCCATGATGTTTATATGTGCTTGAAAGGTCTTAAACCATTTCATTTTGAAATGAAAAAAAAAAATGTGTGTGTGTGTGTGTGTGTGTGTGTGTGTGTAAAACAAATGTAATTGTATATTAACTAATATAAAATAGAAATGGAAATGTACTGGTTTTTGAAGACTTGAGCCAACTATCTATTGAATACCCTAATACCTTCTAAATTTTTTTTAATGTTTATTTAATTTTTTAAAACATTTATTTATGTTTGAGAGACAGAGCACAAGCAGGGGAGGGACAGAGAGAGAGGGAGACACAGAATCTGAAGCAGGCTCCAGACTCTCAGCTGTCAGCACAGAGCTCAACAGGGCTCGAACCCACAAGCCGTGAGATCATGACCTGAGCCAAAGTCAGATGCTTAACCGACTGAGCCACCCAGGCACCCCTATTCAGTTTTGAGAGAGAGACAGAGAGACAGAGAGACAGAGCATGAGCCAGGGAGGGGGCAGAGAGGGAGGGAGCCACAGAATCTGAAGCAGGCTCCAGGCTCTCAGCTGTCAGCACAGAGCCTGACACAGAGCTCAAATTTACGAACCACAAGATTATGACCTGAGCCAAAGTTGGATGCTTAACTGACTGAGCCACCCAGGTGCCCCTTCTAATACCTTCTAGAAACCCCAGGGGCTCACAAGCCACTAGAAGGCCTGATGGCATTTTAAATAAGGTTCAAAACCATAGTTATTATCAGGTTTAAACCTGTAGTCCACTTTTTTCATCCCTTCCAAAGGTCTTCATTGCTTGGAAAAAACTCGTTTTTTCATACTAGTGGCTGTAGGGAAACAAGAAGGAAGTCCTTTTGTCACACAATTTCTTAGTGTCCTTTGTCTTCTGCTCCACTAGAACAGTGTACAAAATCATGTAAAATATTGGAGAAAGCTGGACATTAAGGCCATTATGCAAGTAGTACAAAGTAACATAAGGTGTTTGTGTTACAGAATAATATGCTAATATTTGGTTGAAGTTCTCCATTTGCATTTGTATGGTGGGTACCTTACTGGCATTTTCTTGAGTCCTTCTTTTTAAGCTTCACCTAGCAGTAGATTAAAACCTTTCTGGGGTGTCTGGGTGGCTCAGTTGTTTAAGCGTCCTACTTCGGCTCAGGTCATGATGTCACCACTCGTGGGTTTCAAGTCCCACATTGGGATCTGTGCTGACAGCTAAGAGCCTGGAGTCTGCTTCCAATTCTCTCTCTCTCTCTCCCTCTCTTTCCCCTCTCTCTCTCTCTGCCCCTCCCCCGCTCACACTCTCTCTCTCTCTCAAACATGAATAGATGTAAAAAAAACAAAAAACTTCTAACCTAACAAATATATAGAGTCTAAGGCTACTTATTCATATTTGTAATATTTATACATATACCTATATATAGAGAGAGAGAGAGTGAGCGCAGGCGTGTGAGTGCCCATGTGTCTACTTGGGACACTTGTAAGACAAACAGAATTCCTAAATCAATTCTATTTCTGTACCTGGAATATCCACAAGTATCATAAATATCAGTGCATTGGTAAGAAAATGATTCTGTGCACCTTAAGTTTGAAAAACAGAAGATGATTTCTAGGTGTAAGCACTGTTCTTTAAAAACTATTCAATTTCATCATCCTATTTTCTTCAGTTGTTTTTCAAAGCTATTGTATTTTTTAATTTGCTTTGTAAACAAGTTGTGTGACTATCATCTATTTTGTCCACCCCTTGTCTAGCCTTAAGCAAACCTTTAAAATATTCTGAACATTTATGTTCAGAAAGAAACCAGCTCTTATTTCCTTTTTCTCCTCTGTTTTGTTCTTAAATCTTCATTCCTGTGGCTCTTCTTACCTCTTCTTCTTACCCTTCTTATCTTTAGGCTTCTTAGAGGATTTCTGCTCTGTGGAGATAAACTTGGGGCAGCCCATGTAGATGAAGGGGAACTTCCTACACTTGGGAAAAGACCTGATGGCATCAACCAGTGAGTCTTTCCAGAAAGGAGAGATGCACTGGGTCATTTTATTGCTCTAACTGTGGTTCTTCAGTCAAGTTAGAGGAAACAGCCTCCAGGTTTTCTGCTTTTTCTGGCTCTCTTCCTAACCTTTTCTCTATTCTGAGCATGAACAAATTCTTCCAAAAGAGAGGAAAAGATTCTTCAAATTCCTTAGGCAGTCTCTGGGGAAATCAACCATTTCAGGAGTTTTAGGTTTAGTGTAAGGAGCATACAAAAATGTTGTTGGGAGAAATGAGTCAGTATTTCATTTTTCACTGTTGAAATTAGTTCAGAATGACATAATGTATGACAGTGACATGACATTTCCATTTGCTTTTCCCTGGGCCACTCTTTATATTTGGAAGTTTGCAGCAGGAAATCTGCACTCTCTCAAGCAAGAGCAACTTTTCATAGTCCTAAACCAGCAGCTGCCTGAAGTCAGTTTGGAAGGGAACACTTTGTGTGCCAAAATAAATCTTTCTTTAAAATCAGTTTACCATAACATGGATGAACCTTGAAAACATTATGCTAAATGAAATAAACCAGACACAGAAGGAAAATATTGTATGATTGCACTTATATGAGGTGCCTAGAAGAGTCAGATTCATGGAGACAGAAACTAGAATAGTAGTTCCCAGGGGCTGGAGGAAGGGAGTAATAGGGAGTCTTTGTTTAATGGGTACAGAGTTTTAGTTTGGGATGATGAAAAGTTTTCGAGGTGGATAATGGCGATGGTTAAGTACAATAATGTACTCAATGCCACTGAATTGTACATTTTAAAATGGTTAAAATGGTAAATTTTATGTTATATGTATTTTAACATAATGCAAAAAAGTAAAAACAAAACCAAAAAATGTAATTATGTAAAACATTAAATTTTCTCACCAAAGTTGCTAATAGAATCTTTTGAGGTCTAAAAAGGTGACAGAAAGAAAGAAGAGACAATAGGAGACTAGAGAGCATTGGTTGTAAAGGGTGGGAATAATCAATGCGTCCTACTTGTATGTTTTCCATAATCTAACTATTTGCCCCAGGCCCCCCGCTGACGCTGCTGACACCAGGGCTCACTGTGAATAAAAGGCTCTGGCACTACATGTTATAATTAGTTTCTTTAAGACAAAGTCTCTAATGCTCACCCACTGTCATCTGCCTCCAAAAATGCACTCAGTTTATACCCTATGGGGTTTCGTGACCTAGCACAATAGGATTTTTCCTCCTTTTCTTCCTTTGTCAATTGGAAATCTCCCTACTCACTTCCCCTTTTACCACTCTGAAAAGAACAAAAAAAAAAAAAAATGGAGGAAGAGGAATCTCAGTGTAAACACTCAATATCTAACAATTATGTAGAGTGAGCA